ACTTATAAAACAATTATTTGGGGCAAGAAGAATGCCTGCTTTATATTGGGAGAAGGAAAAAACCTCAAATACTGTTAAAGGCTGGCTGTGAAAACTACTCACAAAGCAAGAACTATAATCACGTTTCATGCATTCTTCCCCCTATTTCTTGGCTCTGCCATTTGCAATGTATGCAAATCTGTATGGATCTGGAGGTTTTACGCAGGCACAGGGAACTCCAGCCTCCCCATTGTCTTGCCTTGCTGCAGTTCTGTCAGACCTGCTTTAGGTTCCAGACAACCTTTGGTCTCTCTGTTGTACACCAGCAAAGAGCTAACCAAGTCTGTAAGTTTTTCCTCTCCTCCCTGTTTTCCCAGTAGAACTGGCCATCTCCATAAACCCTCCCCTGCTTTGCATATTCTTTTCCATCTCCCAGCTAAGTAATCAGATGCACTAACAACATCACAATTTCCCAGTCTGCTAATTCCATATATTTCCAAGTCACTTCCATACCAGTGCTTTATCACCTACAAATCTGCTCAACCTGCACAACCCTGCAGAGGAACACACAACTAGGCATACAAGAAACGGAACCTGCCTGTCCTTGCAATGAGGCCAACAGGTACTAATTTTGCAGCAGTGTTCAATCCTCTTTAGCCTGCTTCATATATAGGCTAATACTAATTTTTTAAGAGGATCAATGCAGAAAATGCCTAGTGGATTATGAGTTCACTGCTGTACATGAACAGAGACAAAAAGAAATAGGTGGAAGAGCAGAAAAAAACCAAAAAATAAGTCCACTATTTTTTGTACCAACAAACTTGGTTCTAAACTTCATACATGGTCTTCAATTAACTATATGTACAGTCTTTACAAAGGTTCCCAAGTTCCTTATCTGCTTACATCTACAGATTTTTATTATTATTTTCATCTGTTTACAGTTCTTTATTATTTTGTCATCTGTTTTGTTCCCTCACCCCAGGCCACAAGAACTGGCTCCCTCAGTACAGAATAACATACTCTTGAAATAAAGGCTGCTGTTTAGTACTGAAAAAAGCACTCATGACCCTTCATTCAATACGCGTCTTTTCCTCCTCCATTCCATAATAAAAAAATAGAAAGCACTACACCTACTAAAAGTAAGTTCTGGAATATTTATTAATTTTGTTTTCAGAAACACAGACACACCCAGAAGCTCGCTGCACCACAACCTGGTGTTACAGGGAGCAGGAGGAAACGGAGCAGCTCTTGGACCCCTTGGCCAGAAGAGGAGCTCAACACACTTCTCACAGCAGGTAATATCCTCCCTCATGGTGAAGGCAGGCTACAGCAGCACATCCAGAAGCTAAACACGCCTCTGCATTCCTGGAACTTTACAGGCAGATAAAAGAATATAAAAGCTTTTTGGCCAGAATACAATTAAATGTAAGACCTCATTAATCCAGCTCTGGACAGCAAGATCTGTAACTTCCCAATCCAGGATGACAGCACACATTAGCCTGAAATAGGAGCTTCTACTTTTCCTCTTTGTAGCTGAAGAGCTACGGAACAGAAAAAGTAATTCTTGGTTCATCAGTTCATCCAAGAATCAAGGACAAAACCTTCATATCAGAAGGAAAACAGCTTCCACATCTAGCCTGCACAGCTACATCAACACACAGGCAAGTTAAAGGCAAATGGAAGCTTCAGTAGTGCCTTTTGGCATTCCCAAGCTCGTTCTGGTACTCACCCAGTTGTATGCTCCACTGAAAAAGCAGTTCTTCAGCCACTTCAACTTCCCAAGCTCAAGCCACAGGTAAAGTGAGACTTTACTCATTCTTTTCAGTACACTTCTTTTACTTATCTACCTAGACACTCAAGCACAGGACTACTATGCAAAGCCAGATGAAGAAGGCTTTATAAAACATTGCTTCATCAGAGAAATTACAAGTTAGAAAAGAGGAATCAGAAAACTTCAGAGAAAAAGCAACCAAACAAAAAGCCAAAAGCAGTTCCCAGCTCCTAGTTTATTATGCAGGTTCCCAAATGAGCATACCTTTCTTCAGTTAATTAACATGGCATATAGCAACTGAGTATAGAGCACAACAGAAAACACTCCCCCACCAAACTGTTCAATATTACCACAATGAAAGTTTCCTATGTTCTTTACTTGTTTTTGTTGTCATCTTTAAATCTCCAACCTTACTACATGCTACCTAAAATTTAAAACACTGTAAAAAATTGTCTCAGTCATGTCTACAAGTACTTGATTTTTAGTTTAGTAAGATTCATAGTAGATCACCACCCAGTCATGAATAATGCTTTCATGGTCATATACCTTCAGAAGCCACTTTTCAACTCATTTAAATCACAGAATATGAATTCAACAAGATCCAACACTTGGAAGCACTGGAGGCTTACAAGACATGTTAGTCAACTTTGGCAATTATTTCATTACCGCTGCACAGCAAAACCTGGCATAAGTAACTTCACCTCTGAACATTCTGGGGAAATACTTTATATTCTTGTTATCTACAAAATCCCTGTTGTAACAACTAGCTTGAGAATCCCTTTTTCCTGGAGAAAACCAAAACTAAAACAAAACAATCGGCGGAGTTCCAAGATAACATAACTATGATAGAAAAGCTCCAAAATTTTATTTCTGTTGATTTAGAGTCCCACTTAGAAAAGTCATCCTTAAAAGTCAGGTTATGGCACAACCACCTATCGACTTATCCAACACCTTTTGCAAACTAGGTGACATATGAAAGTATCACATCTAATGCTAGCAGCCCAGAACAAGAATTGGTTTTGACACGACTCAAAGAGACCTCCCACTTGCTTCATTGCAAAAAAACAGCCAAGAAAATGTATTTTAAAATGAAAACATTCATTTGGCACACACCCCCTAAGACAGCTGGGAGAGAGGACAAGAGTGTGCTGCAGAGCAAGCACAGTGCAGCTTTCAACTCCACCCAAGTGGCCTTCAGCAGATGACAGATCCTCTCGAGTTCTCCAGCTCCTCCCCAGAAAAAGGCTGCATGAAGCAGAGAACTCTGAGGCCCAGCTGCTCAGGAGGCAGGCCAACATGGGATGTGCCAAGGCATCCAGAACATCTCTTCTTTTTGCAGGACCTCTTAGTGGTATAAATCCACACATTTTGGCAGGGTACTGCTGTATCCATGCAAGGTTAATAAGAAAAGGTTATCAAGTGTTCAGTGTAATAGCTGTTTATGCAAGGACTGGGATGGAGAAAGGAGAGGAGAAAATCATAATACCCACAAAGAGATGGCAACACAGCGTATTAAATTAAGTCTGGACACACCTGTATTAAACGTATCCAGAAAAATCTACGAATCAGTGTTAGAGTTTTGAAATGGAACCGTTCAGATCAAACAATTTGTTGTGGAAGTAGGTACCGCCCTCCCCACTAGCTACAATGGCTTTTGTTTCTTAAAAAAAAACATGAGAGAAATTTTAAAACCAGTTATGGACCTATTTTGGTAGGTATGAATATAAGCAGCCTTTATCAACAGACTCTATAGCAATCCTCGACCATCGAAAAAGGAATATGAAGTAACTGCTTCAGAGGAGGGGAGAGAAATGGTGAAGTATTTCCTCTGCAAGGCAAGAGATGATTGTAAAGACAGACTTCATCTGTCAGTCCAGCTCCACAGTTACCAAGCCCTTTCTTTTTTTTTTCTCTCCAAGAATATAAACGCAGTAACACATTGCCATGCCACCCGTTTGCCTCCAGTGGAAAAAGTCACCTATACCTCATCCCTGCTACCGCAAAGAATGAGTGGACATCCATACACAGCCTCCTCGTCCCAGGCTGTACAAACGCTCTTCCCTGCACAGCAGGGAATATGGTACGTACTGTGTTTCACCCAACACGAGCCACTCGGTTCTCTGTTACAATGCCCCTTTCTAACTCAGTTTGTAAACGATACTCCCACTCCGGCTCGGCCTCCACATTCGCCATCCATGCAGCCAGCACAGCTTCCTTTAGGCGCACTTGCGTAACTGCCTGAGCTCGCACTCTTTCTAATAAAAGAAGTCATTAAACAGTTCCCTAACAAAACCTCCATACAGGTATCCAAAAGGGACTATGAGATCAGTAGCTATTTCTGAGTCTGATGGGCACAAAGCACTCAACAGACATGTGCCAATTACTGTGAGAATTCTAATTTTCTTTTAAAAAGAGGATTTATTACTATACTGATTTCCAGAGCTACAAGAAATACCTGGTTGCCATGAACTTTAAGGTGATGTTTCACTTTTTTTCAGCCGAACTAACTCCCAATAAGAGGCACATGACAATAAAGACATGAAGTAAGATAGGAAAATGTGCCAGCATTAAACCGAAGAGTAGACTTGAAAAATCCCTTCAACCTACAGATCCATCAGGTTTCCTCCTACACCAGGGCAGGATCAAGCTCCTACTCCCCTCCCTGCTAAAGGCCGTCACGCAATAGAAAGGAGCTGCAACAATGAAGTTACCACGGCTGCATTCATCCACTCAATCCCTCTCCCTTAAACGCCCATGATGCGTAGTTTTGTATACGCAGAAACAACAACCCACACCTCCGGGAAGCAGTGAAAACATCCCCTGAGAATTAGCTGAGGGGCAAATGGGGACAGAAAACTCTCTCTTCACCAGTACCTTGCAAACTCAGCACCTCTGTGGAGACCTGATTTAAACTCTCCTGACAGTAAAAAATAAAGCCGCACGTAACAGCTCTTCAGAACACATCCAGCCGGTCACCCGACAGCTAGCCCCCGTACCGCGTCCTACTCTTCGCTCAGCGAGGGACGTCGGCTCCCAGCAGACAGCGGCCTCCCCGAAGCGCCCGGACACACTCCTGGCAACCTGAGCGGCTGGCCCTTGGAAACCGATCGCTTCCCAACCAGGCGAAAACGCCTCGCATCCCTCCTCACCACCCTCCTCACCACCCTCGGGCGCGCCCCCGGGCCCCGTCTCCGCGGCAGGTGCGGCAAGCGCGGGCGGCGGGGGCCCGACCGCCACCCCGGGCACGCACCTGGCGGAGCCGCAGCCGGCAGTCGCTGCCGCCGGAGTCAGCGGGGCTCGGGGACGGCGCTAGGAAAAGCAGATTTATAAACCTGGCAGCCCTCGCTCATTTGCTGCAGCTGGAGGCCCCTCCTCTCCGTCTCGGTCCGGCCGCGTCGCAGGCGGGGGCTGCCAGCGCCCTTGCCCCCCGCCCGAACCCAGCGGCGGCCCGGGCCCTGTCAGGCGGCAGGACGGACTGCGTTCCGTAGGTGCGGGCGCGCCGACCGCCCCCACGCCCGGGTCCCCCAGCCCCGCACCCACCTCGGCGGGAGAAGGCGCGGCGGGCACGGACGGTCGCTGCCCCAGTGCCGACCGCTCCCTCGCCGCCGCCTCCTGCTCCCTCCGCCCGCCCCCCGCCGCCGTCTCCTCCTCCCTGGCCGGCGCACAGCCCGCCCCGCCGGGCGCTCCTACCTGCGGGGGGCTGCGGCGCTCCCCTCGCACGGCCCCCGCCTGCCTCGGCGCCTGCCTCGGCGCCTTCCCCGCGGCTGGGGCTGGGCCGGCGCAGCCCCCTCCTCCCCGCGCCGGCGGGGGCAGGGCGGCGGCGGGAGGGGCAGGAGCAGGAGGAGGAGTTGGTGCCCGTGTGTAACAAGTTTGGGTTGCCGCGCAGTATGGCGGCCGGGCGGTGTTGCGGGCGGAGCCGGCCCTCGTTGCCGGGGGTCTGGCGGGGGCCGGAGCCGCCCTGCTCGTCCCTTCCCCCGCGCCCGGCGCAGCCCCGTTAACGGCAGCGGCCCCGCGGCGCGGCCGCAGCGGCAACGGCGCCGGGTGACATTAGCCCGGTCACGGCGCCGGCGGAGCGGCTCCTCCCGCGCCACCTGGGGCTGCATGGCTTGGCAAGGCACCGAGGCGCCTCTGCCGAGACCAGGTGCGGTGTCCCGCAGTTCAGCCGGGCCGAGCAAGAGCCGCCGCAGCTCCTCGCACCTAGTGCCACTTGTCGCATTCCACTGCTCCTCCTCCGCCTTTTCGTCGCGGGCAGGATGGATCCGCTCGCCGCAGACCACAGGGAAAACCGCACCTGGGATCCAGCCTCTCGGTACCATGGGAATGAAATAACTCGTATCGAAAGCAAATGTTACTGGAATTATTGCACCTTAAAAGCATAAGTTCGCTTAGGTGACTGCTTGGCGGTAGATAGAAGGAGGACAGAAAATAGGTCAGTAAATGCACAGCTCTCACCTGCGATCTGTCTGCTGAGTCACTGATGAGTTATTGATTATCATCATGTCCTTGCACGCCTGATGTGAATGTTCAGATGAATGACATGGACCAACACATGGGTGTCTGGTTTTGGATTGGGGTTTGGTTTGGGTTTTTTTATTGCTGTGGAACTGGTGATACCAGTGTCTTGAGATTGCCATAGCTTGGTTAGCAGTAGTCATTGAAGCAAGACTGATCAAAATATTTAGTTTGTCAGATATTAGCACTTGCTTTACTGGCTGACCTTTAAATTCCAGCATTACACAATATTGTATTTTTACAATAGCATGCTAGCTAATTCACATTAGCTGTAGGTAAGAAATAATGTCAAGAAGAAATCATTGAGGAAATCGAGCCTCTTAAAGCACGGAGACATGATAATAACTTCAGATTAAGGAAGTTACATTCAAAGCAACCGTGATATTTCAAAGTCTACAAAATGGTAGCATCTGAAGGAGGGTACTAGGATAGCCAGCAAGCAGTCTGCTGTGTGGTAAACAGTGGCAAATGAGTTTTCCTGCACTACATTTTCAAAATGGTCATGTAACTTAGTCCTGCTTAACATTAGATAACCAGTGTTCATCACACCATTGGCATCAAAGAGGGTCATAATGCCATCAAAACATTGGATGTGAAGCATGGAGAAGAAAGTGGTGATACCCAGCTCTGGGGAACAGCAGCAGCAGGGGAGCAGGAGGGGCTGAGAAGCCATGGTCTGGAAGGAAGGGGAGAACCACTTCTGACGACTCTTAGAGGGACATAAATGAAAGGGTCAAATGAACAAATGCCAGAAGATCCTGCCTGAAAATACAGTAGCATGATAAAAAATCCTTATCATATTGTATCTGGGAAATTGCTGTAATTTATACCATCAGAAGATTAACCTGCCTCTCCACTGGGACTGACTGCTGATATTAATATGCTAGCAAAACCCTCTAGTGTAGACAAGACTTTAAGCATGTCCTGAGGGATACACAACTATGAAATTGTTGAAATTCCAAGGGAAGAAACAAAGATGCTTTTTAAGAAAGGGTCAAATGAACAAATGCCAGAAGATCCTGCCTGAAAATACAGTAGCATGATAAAAAATCCTTATCATATTGTATCTGGGAAATTGCTGTAATTTATACCATCAGAAGATTAACCTGCCTCTCCACTGGGACTGACTGCTGATATTAATATGCTAGCAAAACCCTCTAGTGTAGACAAGACTTTAAGCATGTCCTGAGGGATACACAACTATGAAATTGTATTCCAAAGGAAGAAACAAAGATGCTTTTTATTCTCTCATTTTACAAAATCTAGGCTTGGGCAGTTCTTACCTCTGAGTAGGAAAATCACAGAGATTTTTCAGGTTTCCCCATTAAGTCTGCACAGATTTCCAAAAACCAGGAGTAGTACAAGGGAACTAGAGCAAAGGCTAGCACCAAGACAAAATATCCATTATTTCTGACTCTGTCCAGGTTATATGACATTACCTTTTAAGAATTATATTGTTAATTTGTATAAAGTAGCTTTCGGTCTCCATTCTCAGCAAAACCTGGACAGTCTTCCAGACGTGAAGGTCGGAGGTAAAACAAGGAATTGATATTTGTACCTTGTGAAATGGCAGATTCTCAATCACATTTAGAACCTTCTTTCAAGAATATATTACCAAATGGGATTTGATGAGAAAAGGAAAACACTGGTAATAACAGTGTTGGGAGCTTACAGCTGGTATCATGAATTGCACCACTGAAAATTCCTTTTAGTCACAATCAGAAGTCATGTCTTTCACAGGACTAAAAAACAAACGGCCTCTGACACAAATTTGAGAGGTTTTCCAGAGGTCTCTAATATTAATCTGGATTGTATGTAAATTACTGGTGTAGGGCTAAAGACACTGGTCATCATGGTAATTATAACTGATTTTGTTTTCCTAAAAGAGATAATAATCTTCCAAATCATGCATGCTGTGGCAGTGAGATCATATAATGAACAATTATTAATACATGTCCACATCAATTCCATAATGGGTGTTCCAACGACATGGAGGAAACACGCTTTTAAAAACCTCAACTATAAGCCTAATAAAGTCTAATCTTTACAGAGCACACATAATGCTTTCTGCAAAGTAATAGTATGTAAAGACTGCCTCAGTCCTAACACTTCAGACAGTGTGTTGAGGTTGAATATACACACAGGTTATTTTAAGTCTAGGCAAGCTGTATCAAATCTGTGCCAGGAAAAATAAATAAGCAATTAAGAAAGAAAAAGAGGGTTAAAGAGAGCTGTAACAACTGATGGTGCTCTTAAACCTGCAGTCCTTAATTAAACTCACAAACAAATAAGATACAGGGTAGAAGATACAGAAGCAGAGTAGGGTCTGAGAGGAGACAAAAACTTTCTCAGAAGCCAGATCTGAGACTGAGGGCAGATCTGTCCAAGAGTGAGTGAGTGAACAGGTGGTAGGTTATTAGTAAGTCAATGAAAAGGGCATTGAACATGCCCAGAGGTTTGCAAACCGATACATAATGCAGGGCATAGCAGGGTGCATGAGAGAGTGAATGGATGACGGAATAAACGAATAAATAGTTGCATTGAATGAATGCAACTGTGAACAATTCTGAATAAAGTCAAGGGTTCAAGCTATACCTTTATATTGCTATGATGGCATGACTTTCAAATCACTTGTCATTGATATAAGACAGCATTAGAGGAAAACAGCACACATTGCTGAAAAAAAAATCCCTTTTCACTACCAATTGTGGGAAAATAAAATAATAAAAATAAGGATTTAAAATACATTTTACAGTCATAATAATAAAACCAGTTTTGGAAACATTAGTAAAGAAAAATAAGTACACAAAAGGCATTTAAAAGCATTGTCCAATAACTTAATGTTGATAAATATTATTAAGCTACTAGAATTGAGATAGACCTAAAATTATTTCCAGAGCGAGAAGATGCCATTAACTATCCTAGTTAGGAACCTGATACACAACAGCTCAAAATGATTTATGCAAGATTATACACTAAGTCAGTGACAGAACCACAGATGGATAAAGCCTTGACCTTTTACTTTTGTATCCTCCCCATCAGGCAGAGAAAATGCATTGACTTCACTTTTGCAATTACGGAGGCAGTGAAACTAAATTATAATAGTCAAGGGGTTTATCTCCTAACGTTGGGGTTTTTTGGGTTTCTTTGGACTGAACACTTCCTATATCATTATGGATGAACATGGCAATTATACATTCAGAGACTTTAAAAGTGTCCCTGTATTTACCATGTTTGTATGCCTAAGACAGAAGAAGAGGGAGCTAAGTAAATGCTACACAGACATCTGTGTTTAGATGATGTAGAGTAGGGGAAGTGCATGTCTGGATGACATGGCAGAAAGTCTTTGCCTTTGGTGGATCTGTGTGGCTAGGAACACTGCAAAGGTCACAGAGAATATTTTCCTTTTATTTTTATTTCCTAATCTGGAAAAACAGATTTAGGGGAGCTACACTGTTGTTTAATGTCTAGCCATAGAGTTATCTGTAGTCTAGTCTATTAAATCTCACAGCATAGCCTGTCAGAAGTTTGCCAAAGGGATGAGGGACTCAGTGAATTTAGAGAAGGATGGCAAAAGTGGTAGGGATTCCCCTCATTGGGGTGCTGGGTCAGCATTTGTATTTTAAAATGAGATATTACTAGCAAATTACATTAGTAACATACTTTGCTCCTAGGCAAAACAGCAACATTAATATTTTGTGTTTTCAGTTATCAGTGTCCAAATACAGAACCTGTAATTCTTACACAAACAGCTAAGTTATGTGCATGATTACAGAATTAAGAAACTAACCACTCCAGTGGTCTTTTCACAGGAAGATGGCATGGAAAGACTTAAAATCAACAGTTAATGAATAATAAATGTATGATAAAAGACGTTTTATCCACTCTGTGTGGTGGAAGAAATACATGGGCTAATGAAGAAGGCACATGTTTATTAATGAGAAAAATAATAAAAAAGGTGTCAGCAGTGCTTACCTCAGGGGACAAGGTCAATGAGGCAACATTAATAATGCAGTACATTA